TCGGCCTAGTAGTTTTTGAGTTATACCAATAGATATAAAAATACAAATCTTTTTTCATTATAACATTAGTATGGATGAGCGAAAGAAATTACATGGAGAATAAGTTCCAGATATTAATGTTGCTACGTAAGAATTGCCAAAAATGCAATAAATTTTTCATAAATGAACCAGGTTTTGGACGTAACAGATTGTAACATATTTAAATGATTTCGAATCGAATTTCAATAGTAGTCGCTGTTTGTTAGTTTCGCTTGTATCAGATTGGAGGCTTGAAATATCTCACCATTCTTCACAGATCCCAATTACGGATGAAATTTTTATACATCGATTGACAATGGTTTCTATTTGCAGTCGATAGTTGTAAATTAATTTTAGTAGTTGTGTATGCAAGATAAGTTCAAAGTAGTAAGATTTATTTGTTCGCTTTAAGAACTTTGCAGCAAGGACGTTCGCCCGTTGCAATACTACGACCACACAGAAGACAGGCGCCATATGTGTGCCGCAGACCTAATTTTAGCCTCTTTCCCTTTTCACCTTTCTTATAACAGAGGGATGGGAAGGGAAAGTGAATTAAATGGTAAAGGAGACGGACGTAAATATACTCTTAATGGGCGACTCCTTCATCAATTAAAGGTAGCCAAATCATCTGCAGTTGCGGATGTCTATGGGCAGCGCTGGCGACATTTTGGCAGATTTAGGTGGTTGGTCATTAGCCACTTTATGGTATAAAAACTATTTTAATCTGTAGTAAAACTTGTAAGTTAATAAAGGGGTTTTAGTTCATAAAAATCTAGCAACTCTGCACATATTTGTCCCGACGCGACTCATAAAACTGAGGCATATTAACTGCCGTCCACACTCATAAAACCCTAACTTACTAGATGTGATATTTAAATATGTTATCATAGTATACATACATGTATGTATTCATCTACATATGTGTATACTTCTATACTAATATAATAAAGCGTAAACACACACTACTTTGTGACGTGGGATGTCAGCAATCACAGCATATTTTTGAATAATACTTTCTTTAATAAAAAGCCCTTCACTAACGTCACGCTTTCAGCTATATATTTTCACGCTATTAAACTTAGGGCTAAATAAATTGGATAAAAAACCTAATGTGGGAAAGAGACCATAAGCTACAAGCTGCCAACATCAAGGAAGTAAAACTGCAATGCTTCCACATAATGTTATGTCATTTTGAAATTTGGAATTGATTATTTGAGAAATGTAAACAATAAAATAAAATTTTCATAATTTCATGCGGATAAAGCCGCACGAGAATAGCTAGTGAGTTTATATTTAAGAATAACTATTGCCCGCGACTTCGTACACGCAATATTAAGATAAAAATGTTGCCGATAATATGCCTTTCTATGTCAGCTACCCTTCAGTAAAAGTCCGGTAAAAAAAAAATTACCCGAATTAAACGCCGCTTGCTAACAAAAAGACAGACAATTTTTTTAATGCAATTTTTGTTATCAGCAACCAAAACACATTTTCCCGAAATCTGGTACTTTTCTTTTGAAATTACAAACAGACACTACAAATTCTATTACACAGATGCAAAAAAGGAGTATACTTCATGACTTGAACATATTTCACTGATCAATTGAAACAATAAAAAAAATCATTTTCTTCGACATTCCATCATTAATTTTTATTTAAATAAACAGATGATAATCGAAGTTCAGCTTACCGATAAAATATATTCATCCAGTATTTTTTATTTCTGGCGTAATCGTTATATAAATCATCCCATCATACGGGACAGCTCATAAAAATGTCAAATAACGTTTTGTTCGCGCATCTAAAGCCTGTGACGTAATAACTCATTTGTAGACAGAAGGCGCGTAACGAAGTTATATCGTTTGTTAAATGACTAAATGAAAACTTCGTATCATCATCTCTCTGTCCTTATCCCTCTATTCATATTAGATAAGGAGAGTGAGACTTTTTAGTGTTTTTATTTGTTGCGGTAGAAATTTTTTGTTCTTACGTCTGTTACCGGTGTATAGAATTCCATTTAGTGGTATAGTGCAAATCAAACATTACGATGCCTCGATATTTTAGCCCAAAACGCTTATCAAATGAGCGGGCTCGATACTAAAAATATGTTCGCATATTGCTAGTAGTTCAGACAAAGATAGATTAATTTAGTAACTATTTTTTTACAATAAGCCTTGCCTACGAGCCTGCGTACAGTTTGAATACTGTTATACATTTTTTAAAGTGTTTTAAAAATATTGTTTTAGTGATATATACATTTATCAAAGTAATAAAAAACTTTTTAGAAATCAAATCCAAAAAGATAAAAGCAAACAAACATGGCGGACAATAAGAAAGTCAGTATCGAGTAGCGGTGATTTCTCTTTACTAACTAATCCTCATATCTTATCATTACTTCTGTAAATATGCTTGCGTACTCGTGTTATCCCACTCAATACTAACAATTATTATCGTTTTTGTAATCACTTTTCATTCTAATAAAAAAAAATTACTATAAGCAATATACTCCGAGATAGAAGACAATTTTAAAGACACTTTATTCAGTCAAAATCAGTTCAGTCGTTGAGGTTCTAGGCTGTCAAACAAGTATATACAGACGCGTGTACAACCTTCCTTTTTTCAATCGTATAATGAAGTTTTCAAGTCACTACTGGTACTGTAACGACTGGTAGTATTAAGACTGAAGTAAGCAGTGGTGATTTACAAAGGGGTATTTTTTTTATATTATAAGGTGGCAAACGATCAAGTGGCCAACTGAATCCGCTAAAATAGCGAAGCGACCGTTGTCCATAGACATTCGTAATATCATGATCGACGGAAGAGAAGACGCACATAAAGAGGATATTTCCCTCTCATATGCGTCTAAGCACCGTCAAATCCAAGTTCCCTTCCCATCTTTTTCGTATAAAAAAATGGTGGGAACGAAAAAGGATTAAAATTGGACCTTCCACTTCACGTCTGTCTTCTGTATAGTTGTGGTATTACCGGGCGAGCCAGCGCATTCGTGCGAAGTTAAAGCGGGCTCTACCACTGTCAAATAGGCGACTGGAATAGTGTTAAGATTGGACTAAGCAGTGGTGAGTTACAACTGGATATAGTTAGAGGTTAAAATCCATTATAATATAATGTTTTCTAATCGCATAGTACTTATTTTAAACAAACACTCATACAAGTGTCATTAACATTTGTGATTAACAATAAAAGGACAATGGTACTCGATTATGATAAAATGTCTTTATATAGGGTGTTTTTGTGATATCTACTATTAAGTGTACACCAATCGGTTTATTTAGTTGTTGTGTTTAAAATGATTTTAAAATATATTGCATTAACATTGTTAATTGTGAGCGTCAATATTGTTAAAGCAAGTGATAGTAAGTTGTAAATTGATTTTTTTATTGTTAAAAATTTTATGTGAGTTAAGTTACTGGGATTGGAAATGCAAAGCTAATATAAATGAATAATTGTGGCTTTAAAACAAATTTAGGACCTGTCCCACGACTGGCTGATAGTGTCTCAGATAGCATAAAAAAGGATTATCAAAATCGGTCCACTAGCGGTGGAGTTATACCGTAACTAACTAAAAAAATCATACAGACGAATTGAGTTCCTCCTTCTTTTGGGAAGTCGGTCAAAAATGAAGTTACTATAAGGTAACAAAATCCGATATTTCATCACACATTTTACAAGTTGGATTATCAGATAATTTACAATTTGGTGGGACAGGGCCTTAATCAAGTAATTATTGCGTCAGTATGTGTACAAAAAAGTGATTTTTAATTGTTTTCAGAATTGGTATTATGTTACTATGGGACGTGGGCGACTTATCGCCCGAGTTTGGGCAAATTCGACGTCGAACATATTGACCCCAACTTATGCACGCATCTGGTTTACTCGTTCGTCGGTATCAACACTCAAGGAACAGTCATATCTCTAGATCCGTATCTAGATTTACCCGATAATTGGGGAAGAGGTGAGAGAAACCTTAATGGATGTTTGTTAGAATTTGTAGCCTAAAGTATTAAATGGGTCTTGATTAAATTTGGCATAGATGTGGATAATAGTATGAAAGAATTCTTACGCTACTTACTTTTTTTAATAAAACGCGGTTGTAGTCGCGGGTGGAAGTTACTTAAAAATCAATGTAAAATTTTTATATCACAATTCCTATAGCTTTATTAATAAACTTATTGTTGCTCGCGACTTCACCCGCGTGAAATTAAAAAATATATTAAAAAATAGCTTATGTTTCTCATTGATAACGTAGCTTTTTAATGGTGAAAGAATTTTTGAAATCGACCCAGTAGTTTTTGGGTTATTTCAATACATACAAAAATACGAATCTTGCTGTTTTATAACATTAGTACCTATTGATAACCTGTTATTATACTTGGAAGATAGATGAATAAGTATAAAGGATAAGCCACAACAACATTTTTTTTAATCTTTAAATAATAATTGTAACAAATTTCTATATTAACAGACAACTTTGCCAAATTCAACGCATTAAAAATTGGCAGACCTAATCTTAAAACTCTTTTGGCGGTTGGTGGATGGAATGAAGGATCAGCGAAATATTCCAGAGTAAGTATTATATTTTACCATTTTCATTTAAGTATGAAAAATAATATTGACATTTGAAACAGGACGCATTTTATGTCTGAAACATAAAATTTAGAATTAATTTTTTCTAGAAAGCGAATTTGAATTTGATGTTCAAATATTTGAATTTGGAATTTAAAACATTTGACAAACGTTTCTTACGGTAAAGGAAAACATCATGATACGACCTGCACGTATATGAGAAGAAATCCAAAGATATATGTGAAGTCAACCCGGAGTGGGTCAGCGTGGTTGACTATAGACTAGTCACCCAGTAGGACTCCGAGCTCCTTACAACGTGTGCTGACGATTAATAGACCATTTTCATGTTTTTAGATGGCAGCTAGCTCAATACTACGAAGGAATTTCATAAACAGCGCTATAAAGATGATGAAAGATTACGATTTTGATGGTCTAAATCTAGACTGGGAGTACCCTAACAGACGGGACACAGTGAACGGACCAGCTGATATACAGAACTTCGTACAACTGCTCAAAGAACTTAGAACAGAATTTGATAAATACGGATTCGAGTTGAGTTCCGCCGTCGCTGCTGTTGAAGCGGTCGCTATCCAGGCTTACGACATACCTGGTATCAGCAAGTAAGTTATTAACATTAGAATATCTTCAATTATTCACTCTTCGTGTAATTACTCTTTGCCATAACTCAACTTCAACGATAGCATATTCATTTGTTTCTAGATATTTGGACCACATCGGTCTAATGACGTATGATTTGTATGGCCCATGGGACGCGGTAACTGGACACAACTCTCCACTGCATAAAGGAGAAGGGGATGGGAACATTCCTAGAGAACAATTGTATACCGTAGATGTTGCACTGGAGTACTGGATCAAAAGCGGTAAGACAAACTTTAAAATTGGTTTTTAATTTTATTTAAAGTGAGATTTAAGTAAAGGGAGGTATAAAAATACATTATGATATTTGTATTTTATGGCATTCTTATCATAAATTCAATTTTTGACATAATGTAAATGTAAATGTAAGGATAACTAGGAATTTTCTAGTTATAGGTACTTAGTATAACTAGCTTTCGCACGCGACTCTGTCCGCATGAAATAAAAAATGCAAGTAGCCTATGTGTACTTCCAGACTACCCACGACAGTCAAACCAAATTTCATCAAGATACGTTCAGCAGTTTAGACTACAAACTCCAACAAACATCTATCCATCGAAACTTACGCATTTATAATATCAGGAATTTGTACAATTTGTTGATGGCTAGACGTTTATATATTACCTTTGAAATTAACTTGATTTTCTTAAAATCCGTTTCAGGATGTCCACCTGAAAAGATAATACTAGGTCTACCTCTTTATGGTCATACGTTCACTTTGACTAACGCGGCTATAAATGGTGTTCGAGCACCATCTAGCGGTGCGGGCATAGCCGGTCCTTATACTTCTACTAACGGTATCATTGGATACAATGAGGTAGGTACATGTATATTAAAAACGCACTTTGTCCTTAGGTGGTCACTAATATAATCTCTTAGTGTGAAAAAATACTTTAATTTAGTCTATAACGTTAGATAGTTTGAAAAATAGTGAAATGAAGTGTTTGACAATTGCCAGAGAATTTGCTGCTTATTTGACGGCTATAAAAGCAAATACGCTTGACTCTAAATTTTTTATTAAAAATAATCTAAGTAGTTAGAAAGTTGAAACTGTGGTCTGAAGTGAATTTGCTTTAGTATCCCTCTAGTTTGGTACATTTAGATTTAGAGTGAATAAACTATCGCACAACTGCTGTGCGATTGTCAATTGCTTCGCAGCCAATTCAAATGTTTAGTTGAACAACTAAAAATCAAGTAATGTAACCTCCATACAAGCTTAAAGGAATCAAAGCGAGACTAAACAGTTCTGCGATATTTTCAAGTGTGTGCCAGCTCATAATTTCGCTAACTTTGATATTTTCAGTTTTGCATCAAATTACAAAGAGAGACATGGAATGTGAGATACGACAGCCTAGCGAAGGTCCCTTACGCGGTACAGAACAGAAACTGGATATCATTCGATAATGCTAGTTCATTAACCGCGAAAGTAGAATATGGATTGAGCAAAAACATTCGCGGTATCATGGTTTGGAGTATTGAAACTGACGATTTTCGTAACGTCTGTGGCTATGGGAAATATCCCCTTCTGAATGCTATTCATAAGGCTTTAGGAAATATCATCACTACGACTCCTAGTACTACTACAACTACAACTCCTAGTACTACTACCACTACTACTACAACTACTAGACCTGGTTCAAATACAACAAAAGGTATTTATGGTTGTTTAAATTTGTATTCTACTGTCTTTATCTATTTCATTTGATTATTGTTCCCCTAAGACCGGGCGCATACTTTTGACTAAACTATTGTCCAACTGTTATGCGATTGTCCATTGTTTCGCAGCAAATTCAACTGTTTAGTTGCACAAGTAAAAATCGAATAGTGTGCTACCTGATATAGTAAGGTCGTAACCAACAAAGTGAGACTAAACCGTTTGTGCGATGCTTTTGGCAAAGATGTGGGCGCTCTTGGAGGACGCAACACAGTCAATTGACTTATTTTATCCAAAATACTATTTTATTAACTGTGTCAATGTGTGTAATAGTTTTATTTATCTTCTATTTATACTTAGTGGTTATATTGAGTCATAAACGAACTTTTGCTTGGTTGTTCAATTTATAAAATGTTTTGATAATTTCAGAACCAATCGTGTCTCCGTCGGGCAATGTATGTAAATCAGAAGGACTAACAGCTGACCCTAAGGACTGTACTTCGTTCTACATCTGCACTGTAGATCCTAGTGGAAAATTCTTACCACACAAGTTCAAATGCCCCAGCAACCTTTATTGGGACCAGAAGAATCTTTACTGCAACTACCGAGATCTTGTTGAATGTAATATCTAATTAAGGTTTCAATAAATTATTTTTTTTTATCATTTCTGTTTTTTAATTAAAAGGTCCAATTACAAGAAAGGTTGTAGATATCATCAAGGGTAAAGGAAAACTGCAGAAATGAATTATATGAAATTTGTGCATAATCTAATTGGATGTGTGGGTTAACACGATGGGATTAAGATACGTCATGAGTATATTAGAGGAAGTTTGAGAGTAGCCCCAGTGGTTGAGAGAATAAGGAGTAAAAGGTTAGCGTGGTATGGACATGATATGAAGGGATGAATTGCATTTAAGAAGGACATTAGTTACGAATGTAGAGGTACACCGGTAGAGGTAGACCTAGAAAGAGATGGATGGATTGCGTGAAAGGTGACATGATCAAGAAGGGAGTGATGACTGAGATGACGGATGATAGAGTTATTTGGAGGACGAAAATCCGGTGCGCTGACTATACGGGAGCAGGATAAGGTAGGGGAGATGATGATGTCCATAAAATAAATTCAGAAATACTGATAGAGATGTATGAAAAATTTGTACGAACTGTGCTGACCCTCCGTTATAAAGGCAGATAAATAATATCTCCGTTTATAATAGACAGATATGAATAAACTACAAATTTTAATATTACCTAAAGTGTTAATTTAGATTCTGTTAGTATATTCCCTCTCTTGTTTCTGTTCTCATTATCATGTGTGTATATTATTTACTCTTTCACTTGTTTCTCATTTTATCCTTTGGGCGTATTTTTTCGACATTTTCAACAAGGGTCGTGGCGAATGCTCGGGAAATCTATTTAACCATTCGTGAATTTCCACAAATGAAACAAACGAAATACATGTTTTCCGCATAGGCTGAAAATGTGCGCGAGAAGTTAGGAGACATTTTTTTTTAGATTTACGTTTAAACGGCTTGTCGGCGCGCTTAAAATATAACCAAAAAACATTTTTCCGTTAACCAGAAATGCGATGATCTTTTGTTTCTTTTTTAAACGCTAAATTTAACAAGGATATTTAAAACATACAAACATCGTTTAAACTATGTAAAATGCTGGACGAACTATGTGATAGAGTGAGTGAGTGAGAGTGAACTCAGATATGACAGTGGATAGCGATGTATGATAATGCAGTATATACTAGCCGTCACTCTATAGAGAAATGAGCAATCAGATGATAACGATAAAAATGTTGAATCATTCAGTTGATTTTAGTAGTAAAGGATAATACGATACGTACAATAATGTTTGTTCGAAAAACGTAAGAAAATAATGAAAAACAAAAATTAAATCTGCAAGTAGGTCAGGCAGTCGAGTGGGTGCAGTCTCCTAGCGACTCATGAATTGCACTCCACAGCTCGCGAATGCTTACCAGCCCTACAGCCGACAGAATGAAATAAATAATCTCACGTAGCCAGCAACAAAAGAAAACATCAGTAAATGAGCAGTTCCGTGTGCGAACCACTCGTTTGCTGATATCCCATTTATTCTTCTATTTATTACTTTAAAAGTGCAAAGGTGAAAGAATAAGTTTATGATGTAAAATGAATAAAGAGACATGATCCCCTCCCCAAATCATCTCCGCCTTCCCAATGTTTACTTATACGAAAATATAGGAAGGGGAAGAGGACTTAAGTGAAACCTCGAATGACAATATGCGTTAACACCATCGTCACTAACCATTTGAAATAGTGAATAGCTTCGGGCCGTATTCTCTAGAACAACGACGTCACCGTAAAGGTAACTAAAAGAATTCATGATACAATGCACAAAGAGTTTGTGTTGCATTGAAGTGTTGTGACAATTTGCCTTTCGTTAATAACTGAGAATTGTGAGACTTTTGCGACAGAAGGCAACAAATGTTTTCACACCTAGGACAATTCTATAACTGTTCCAAAGGGAATAACAAGGACGGTGATATTGTATTACAGGTGTTTAGAAAGTGGAGATTCCCCGTTAGTGCTTACTTGACTGCAATCACTGGCTGATGTATTCTCAGCGACTTGAATCCCCTTGACCTATTTTCTAGGATTGGGTTTGTTTCAAATGTTCTATGGTTTCTTATTCCGTTTCTTCTGTCATGTATAAAATAATAATAGTATCTCTGTCATTCACTTTAAAAAATTGAAACAAGTAGCGAATGCGTAGTCACAGATGTATGATTTTTTGAACTTATTTGCGCCGTTTCTTCTTTAACGCTATTGCTCATACGAACTCTTTAAACAATTGTATTGTGCGCCCATCGCTTAAAATCTAACACTGTGCGATAAAAATGCGTCGCGTTTTATATGGTTTTGGTATGGTTAACGTTTTAAATGGAAGAATATGCAGAGTCCATTTTTAGGGAGCATGTTTTTACCATGTGCGGGTATGTCCTTACTTCGCTTGTAACGTCGTGGTAATAATTTAAGAGCCGAGAGCGCTGTCCGTTCAAATATAGTAAAAACATTGACTTTTAAGAGACAGGACATGTCGGTTGTGTACTTTCCCCTCTGTCAAATAAAATCACGCAATAAATTCTGATCATGCTTGATAGTGTGCTCTTGTTGTTTTATATTTGTACCTATATACATTCTTGAAGTCGTATCAGCATTATACAGACATATTTAAGTAATATTTACCTCACTTCCCACCCGCAAAAAGTGGTGGTATTTATTTCTACAACGCTTTCAATGCTTAGTCCGTTTCTTTATGATCAAAGATTTAGGAACGACGGAGTGCGTCCGTTCAAATATGGTGAAAAATGTCGCCGCTGGCCACATGCGCTTTGCGGCCTATACGCGAACATGCGTTGTTTTTTATTCAATTTGGGCATCGGAATGGTGACGGTAAAATGAAATGAAATTTCGTAGTATCGGAAAATTACTTTTGCGTTACCTTTTCTATCGTTTGATATCTACATTTGCATTTATGAACACATCAACATTTTTTAAATCAGCCTCTTTAGTCCGTTCCTGAGCAATCTCTTGTTTTATTTTGTTTTCGTGGCTTTCATTATCTTCTTGAAGTTAATTTAGAAAATACCTTTGTAACGATGTCCATAGACATTCGGATTTGCGAATGCGTTGATCTTTAGACCGGGCGCAAACATTTGACTAAACTATCGCACAACTGTTGTGCAATTTTCGTTTGTTTCGCAGCAACTTCAACTGCTTAGATGCACAACTAAAATCGAGTAGTGAGCGCACCTCCATATAAGCTCATAGGAATCAAAGCGAGACTAAACAGTTGTGTAATAATCATCTGAAGGACACAGAAAGAATATATTCTTTGCATCTCATCCTCAAAATCTACTTCTCGTTTGCATCCAAATCATCATCCACTTGCCCTTATCCCTTATGGAGGGTCGGCACAGTATGTGCTGCTCTTCCATACATCTCTATCAACCGTTATATCTGAATCCACTCCTTTCTTAAGCATATCTTCTTTCACACAAACCATCCATACTTTCTTCGGTTTTCTACCTTTCTAGCCATCCGCATTCATTTTAACACTTTCTGGTTTATATCTGGTGGCATAACATGTCCATACCACGCTAACCTTTTGCTTCTCAATTTCTCCACCACTGGCGCTACTTTCAAACTTCCTCTTATGTACACATTCTTAACTTTATTCAATCTTGTCATACCACACATCCATCTTAACATACGCATCTCAGCCACATGCAATCTCCTTTCATCCAAATATGGGAAGTATTTAAGTTTTGTTACCGACAAGAAATATTACTACGGAATACAAACAAAGTCGCCGGCTATGGGTAGTATTTTATAATCTACATTGTTTGCAAACTGCATCGCTGTTAGGCCTTTAGGTCATGTTGCGCGGACGTTGCTATATTGCATCAATATTTCGAGCTCGCCAGATAAATGCCAGTGGCTGGCTATTGCACCTCATGTGGGCTTTTTATTTCAATTCATAGAGTGTATTTCGACAGACAAAACACATGACAATAACAAAAAACAAAAGAAGACTAAGAATAAGTCCTACCAAGTTCTTATTTCAAATAAAATCCAACGTGTAAAATATGTGAAAAAAATATCCGATTTTGTTACTCTATGTGACAGTGACGTCATATTAAAGCTATCTGAGCCTCTATCAGTGGGTTCAAACTTACCTGTCAAATAAAACATAAAGATTCCACTATTTTAAATTGTTATTATCTGAGGATTATCACGAATATTGGCGAGAACGTTTTTGTAACTTCATCAACAAAATTTTGTACCGAGCGTAAAACACCAACAAATCTCATAATTATTTTGTCGATGATGTCACTATTACGTTCTTGCAACTGTCATGGAAATATTCGTGACAGACCCTTGGTTTACTATCGACAAATTAGCGGAATTGTTAACACTAAAAAAAGTCGATAAAAGTGACACAAAAAACAAAAACAACTCTAAAATAACTGTACAATAGAATTTTTAATACAATAATTTAATAAAAAATATCCAATGATTGTCTAAAATCATAATATATCAACAAAAGCTTTTAAGGTTTTAATTATCTTTAGAGAATTGGACATTGCCAGTGCGGGCCTACAATTGATTAAGCAAAACAAAAGGCCTATTGTTGAATAAATATTAATACATATTTATGAAGTCTGTATTGATGATATTACTACTGTTACTCAAAAATTCGTCCACTTACAATTTAAAAATGTACGGTGTTAATGTACTATGTTACTCAGCGTCAACATAGCTTTTTAATGGTGAAAGTCATTTTGAAATCAGTCTAGTAGTTTTTGAGTTATTTCAATACATATAAAAATCTAAATCTTTCCTCTTTATAATATTAGTAAAGAGGAAAGATTTGGATTTTTGTATCTATTGAAATTACTCAAAAACTACTGGGCCGATATTAAAAATTCTTTCAATATTAGAAAGGTAATTTATCTGTAACATAGACATACGTTTTTATTATTTTTAATTTCACGTAGACGAAGTCGCGATAGCTAGTAACATTATAAAAGTTCAACGTTTACAATATAGAAGCTAGAAGTATGTCAGTAAATTGAGGT